TCCTTCACTATCTCCCAGAGCTTGCTCACATTCACATACATCAAGTAAATGATGCTATCTAACCATCTTATCCTCTGCCACCTCCTTCTCCTTTTGCCCTCAATCTTTCCTAGCATCAAGGTCTTTTACAGTGAATCGGCTCTTCACATAAGGTAGCGAAAGTATTGGCGCTTCAGTCTCAACATTCAGTCCTTCCAATGAATATTCATGGTTGATTTCCTTTAGGATTGACTAGTTTGATCTCCTTGTAGTCCAAGGGACTATCAAGAGTCTTCTCCAACTCCACAGTTCAAAAGCATCGATTCTTCGACACTCAGCCTTCTTTATGATCCAACTCTCACATCCATACATGACTACTGGAAAAACCATAGCTTTGAATACATGTACCTTTGTCAGCAAAGTGATGTCTGATTTTTAATATGCTGTCTAGGTTTGTCACAGCTTTCCTTCCAAAGAGTAAGTATCTTTTAATTTCATGGCTGCAGTCACCATCCACAGTGATTTTGGAGCCCAAGAAAAGAAAATCTGTCCCTGTTTCCACTTCTCCCCTTTCTATTTACCATGAACTTATGGGACCCGATGCCATGAATGCATAGTTTTTTGAATGCTTCGTTTTAAGCCAGTTTTTTCACTGTCCTCTTTCACCCTCATCAAGAGACTCTTTAGTTCCTCTTCACTTTCTGCCATTAGAGTCATATCATCTGCATATCTGAGGTTGTTGATATTTCTCCTGACAGTCTTGATTCCAGCCTGTGATTCATCCAGCCTGGCATTTCGAATGATGTACTCTGCACAGAAGTTAAATAAGCAGGGTAACAATATACAGCCTTGTCTTACTCCTTTCCCAATTTGAACCAGTCACTTTTTCCATGTAAGGTTCTAACTGTTGCTTCTTGACCTGCATACAAGTTTCCCAAGAGGCAGGTAATGTGGTATGGTATTCCCATTGCTTTAAGAAATTTTCAGTTTGTTATGATCCACACAAAGGCTTTAGCAGAGTCAATGAAGCAGAAGTAGATGTTTTTCTGGAATTTCCTTGCTTTCTCTTTGATCCAACGAATGCTGACAATTTGATATCTGGTTCCTCTGCCTTTTCTAAGCCCAGCTCATACATCTGGAAGTTCTCAGTTCACGCACTGCTGAAGCCTAGCTTGAAGGATTTTGAGCATAACCTTACTAGCATGTGAAATGAGCATAATTGTACGGTAGTTTGAACATTCTTTGGTATTGCCCTACAACAGAAGTACATGTTGGTAAATGACTGTTGAATGACTTCGGGGATGAGGGAAGGAGAAAAGTCATGGGTGACATTTAATAAAGGGACAGAGCCACGATAGTAACACAGGTCTCTCTGGATCCCAAATTAAAAGCCCCTGGTTTTACAGAAGCAGACTCAAAGACATATGGGGAGGACTGGGAGTCTGAGATTAGCAGATGAAAACTATTATATATAGAATGGATAAGCAACAAGGTCCTACTGTATAGCACAGGGAACTCTATTCAATATTCTGTTACACCATAATAGAAAAGAACATAAAAAAGAATGTATATATATGTATAACTGAACCATTTGCTATATAGCAGAAGTTAAAATGATACTGTAAATCAACTACACTTCAATTAAAAAATAAATTCAAAAATCCCTGGTTTGAGCTACAGTACTGTCTTCCATGTTCAAAATCCAGTACCCTGGGCTCTGATCCCAGCACCTGCCTTCCAGGTCTGGCAGGCCTCTGCTGTCATCACACCTGTAGCATCAGTTCACAGAGACAGCTCCGCTCCCTTGATCCCTCTGTTTTCTGCCATCTGGCCAGACCCCTTCCTGGTTCCTCTTTCTGACCAGCCCAGTCAGAGCCTCATACTGGACCATCTTATTTATCTTTGATTCTGTTCCATTTATCTCTCTGCATACTTTTTTGCTTTTAATAATTTAATGCTTAGGAAAAAAAAAAAGCAACCTCTTACTCAATTTAAGCAAATGACTACTGAGACTTTCATACACGATATTCCACCTGTCTGGAATAGCCCATTCTATGCACCCAAATATCTACTACTCCTCATTCAAGAATAAGCAGAAATTAATTATCAGGGAGGAGAAAGATAACCACAATGACATACTACCACATGTCTGTCAGATTAGCAAAGTTCAAAGTGTCTGACAGGTGGGAGGGAGGTTCAAGAGGGAACATATGTATACCTATGACTGATTCATGTTGATATACTGTCTATACAATACAATGCTGCTGCTGCTAAGTCGCTTCAGTCGTGTCCGACTCTGTGTAACTCCATAGACGGCAGCCCACCAGGCTCCCCTGTCCCTGGGATTTTCCAGGCAAGAGCACTGGAGTGGGTTGCCATTTCCTTCTCCAATGCATAAGTGAAAAGTGAAAGTGAAGTCGCTCAGTCATGTCCGACTCTTTTTGACCCTATGGACTGTTGCCTACCAGGCTCCTCCGTCCATCAGATTTTGCAGGCAAGAGTACTGGAGTGGGTTGCCACTTCCTTCTCCTGATACAATACAATATTGTAAAGCAATTATCCTCCAATTAAAAATTAATAAATTAAAATTTTTTTTCAGTATCTGATAGTACCAGTTATTGGCAAAGATGTGAAGCAATCCATTCTAACTCTGTGCTGGTGGGATAGTAAATTGCTATAAACAGATTAGAAAAGAAGTTTTTTAGTGTAGCAGGCTGAAAAACATCCCTCAAGGGAATTCCCTTGTGGTTCAGTGGTTAGGAATCTGCCCTTATTTTTTTGGCTGTGTTGGGTCTTCATTGCTATGCCTGGGCTTTCTCTAGTTGCAGCGAGTGGGAGCTACACTCTAGTTTCAGTGCAGTGGCTTCTCTTGTTGTGGAGCACGGGCTCTAGGCTTCCCGACTTCAGCAGTCGCAGTTCTTGGGCGAAGAGTGTGAGATAAGCAGTTATGGCACACAGGCTTAGTTGCCTTGAGACATGTAGAATTTTCCCAGACCAAAGACTGAACCCATGTCCCCTGTGTTGGCAGGTGGGTTCTTAACCACTGGGCCACCAGGAAAGTCCCAGGACTCTGCCCTTTCACTGCAGGAGAAACAGGTTCGAACCCTGCTCAGGGAACTAAGATCCTGCATGTCTCTCAGCAGGGCCACAAAATTTAAAAAAAAAAAAAAAGAAAGAAAGGAAAAAAGGTCTGTGGCTTAATCCCTGGAGCGTGTGAATGTTATTTTATGTGGCAAAAAGGACTTTGTTAACGTGATTAAAGGTTTTGAGATAGACTATTCTGGTATTCTGGATTATTCTCATGAGTCCTAACTGCAATCACATGTATCCTTATAAGAGAGAGGCAAAGAGGGATTTAACACTGACAGAACAGGGGGCAGTGTAACTACAGAGGCAGAAATTGCAGTAATGCAGCCACAAACCAAGGGATGCTGGAAACCACCAGAAGCTGGAGGAGGCATGGAACAAATTCTCACCTAGAGACTCCAGAGGGAGTATGGACCTGCCAACACCTTGACTGTTAGACTTCTTGCCTCGGGAACTGTGAGAGAACACAGTTACATTTAGTCCACTGGGCTTGTGATACTTTGTTACAGCAGTCAGAGGAAACTAATTAGGCAGTATCAACCAACCCCTTGTCCATACCCAGGAATTCTCCAATTCTTCTAAGTATATCCCAACAGAAATGCAAGCATTTGTTCACCAAAAAAAAAAAAAAAAAAAGAACTGTAAAGATGTTCACAGCAGCATTATTTATTACAGCTCCAAACTGCTAAAAACCCAATGTTCACCCACAGTGCAATGCAAGAACTACCTGTGGGATAATCATCCAGCGAATACTGCTGCAGCTATTTAGTCACTAAGTTGTATACAACTCTTTTTGACCCCATGGACTATAGCCCGCCAGGCTCCTCTATCCACAGGAATTCCCAAGCAAGAATACTGGAGTGGGTTGTCATGCCCTCCTCCAGGGGATCTTCCTGACCCAGGGATCAAACCCTCATCTCCTGAATTGGTAGGCAGATTCTTTACCACTGAGCCACCTGGGAAGCTCACAATGAATACTACACAGCAATAAAGATGAGTCAACTACAAATAAACAAAACATGGAAGAATATCACAAACACAACATTGAACAAAAGAAACCAAAGACAACAGGACATATAATTGTTCAATTCTATTTATGTCAAGTTAAAAATAAGAAAATTAACTATTTCATTGAGTGACACAAAGCTAAAAACTTAAAGAAAAGCAGGGAATTATTACTGTAAGAGCCAGAATAATATTCCTAGCTAGGGAAACAGGAGGGATGTGATCAGGAGGGGGTGGGGACTACTGGGGTGCTGCTAATGGATGTCTTCTCAAGGTGTTTTACAACAGCTTATTAACTGTACATTTATGTTGTATGCACTTTTCTGAATGTTATATTTCACAATTAAAAAGTATCTTGGTGGTGGTGGCAGTAGTTTTTTTTAAAACATTTTATTTATTTGACTGCACTGGATTTTAGTTGTAGCATGTGGGATCTTTAGTTGTGGTATGTGGGATCTAGTTCCCTGACCAGGGATGGAATTTGGGCCCCCTGCATTGGGAACCTGAAATCTTAGCTGCTGGACCACCAGGGAAGTCCTGGTAACTTTTAATCAAATGAACAGGGAGCTTCCTAATCCATGAAGCCTTCCTGGGTCCCTCCACCAAGGGTCATCTGAGTCACTGGCCACTCTGGGCTCTGACCCACGGTGTCCTGTCTGGCTCCCCCACCAGAACAGGAGGGGTACAGAGCCAGCACCCTGGGGCTAGAGTCCTCTCAGGGTCCCCAGCAGGGGTCAGTCAATCCCAGGGCCGGGCCCCCTTAGGACTCGGGGAACATGTGAGGCCCAGCTCCAGGCACACCAAGACGTCTTTGCCTCCCTAACCACCTCACACCGTTGGGGTCACCGTCGGGGCCCCTGGGTGTCTGCCGGCACTGTGGTAGCAGATGACTGCTGACCGAAAGAGGGTGGGGCTGCATTGCCACTTACCTTTGACTCTGTCTCTTCACATCCCATTCAGGAACGTTCCCTAAGGCCTCCTCGAGGAACGGGCTCTCCCTGAAATGGCCCTTCTCTGTCAGTCTGCTGAACTCCTACTCGTCCTTAAAGAGCCAGCTCCCCGTTCATCTCCTCTGTGAAATCATGGCCCGCCTTCCTCTGAGCCCCCACAGGCCCCTATTTCCCTTGACTGCAGCCTGTCTACGTCCTGCTCCAAAGAATCTTTCTAGAATTCCGAAGCTCTCTGAACTACCAGGGTTGTTCTCAGAACCTGAGTCTGACCCACTTCTCAGCCTCAGGACTCTGGGAAACACCAGACGCGGGTTCCAGCAAGCCCAGGCCAGCGCTCAGGGACGTTCTGGAAGCGCGAGACACTGCCTCGAGGTTCCCGCCACCATGGACTCCCGGCATGCACTGCGCCTGCGCAGGCTCCAGAGTCCTCAGGCTCGCGTGGCCTCGAGGTCAGGCTCACTTACTTCTTGTGTGCACGTGCCACAAAATACGGACCTCCCTCCCAACGGCTCCCCTGAAAAAAGTGGAGTGGGCGGGGCCTAAATAACGAGGCGGGGCCTGTAGGGATGGCCTAACGAATGGATCGGGGCTGAGCTTTAACAACGAACTGAAGTGGGTCTGGGAGTAGAGGTTGGGGCAGGGCCAGGGCCTGAATCTTGTCCAGTATGGGGTGGGGCCCACCATTCCTAAATTGGGGGTGGGAAGGGAGACTCCTCGGGGCCTTAGGGAGAGGTGAAATGCCGAAAATTTAGCTCAGGGGAGGCGAGGACAAACAGCAGCTCCCACCCGACTACCACAGGGGCCCCAAACCTCGAAAGGTCGTGAAAACAAAGCCTATTCCCACCCCAGTCAAGAGCCCTCTAGCTAAGGGAAAGGGAAAGCTCGTGGAAGCCCAAACTTGCCTCCCCAACCTGCCTGCATCGGCAAGGAGAGAGCTGTTTTCCATCTCAGTACTTCTCTACTCCTCAGGCAAGTCACTTTCACTCTCTGAACCCATTTCTTGTCAAAAATGGGGGTAAAATCCCTACCTTACACAGAGTGCAAAGTATTAAATAGATCTTATTTAGGTGCCCAGAGAAGATAAATGGAGACAGTCTGGGATGGACCACGTCTTGACTCCTGGGCAGGATTCAACTCCTGGACTTGCCACTGTATCCCTCACAGGTCAGGGGTCCAGGACAGGTTCCCAGGTGCAGGTTTTCAGTTCAGTCCAGTCTCTCAGTCATGTCCCAACTCTTTCCCACCCGTGGAATGCAGCACGCCAGGTTTCCCTGTCCTTCACGCCCAGAGCTTGCTCAAACTCATGTCCATCCAGGTGGTGATGCCATCCAACCATCTCATCCTATGCCATCCCCTTCTCTTCCTGCCTTCAACCTTTCCCACCATCAGGGTCTTTCCAGTGAGTCAATGCTTCGCATCAGGTGGCCAAAGTATTGGAGCTTCAGCTTCAGCATCAGTCCTTCCAATGAATATTCAGGACTGATTTCCTTTAGGATTTGATCTCCCTGCAGTCCAAGGGACTTTCAGGTATAGGTAGCGCATCCTTTCCCCCAAGAAAAGCCAGCAGTTTGGAACCCCTGCCCACCCCATCCCCAGCCCTGGGCCTCTTCTCCCCCAAGAAGGAAAACCCTGGATATTGTGTAAGAAACTTGAGTTCCTACTGTCTTAAACAAGGAGTGGGTAAAGAGCAAGAGGCCACAACCTCAGCTGTAGCCATAGGATACCAGGAAGAAATGCTTGGCCTCAGGAGGAAGAAGAGATCCAGGTTTTAAGATAACTGCCCAGAAGGTGTGAGGGGTGGAGAGCCACTTGGAGACGCTTTCTAGGCAGAGAGCACCGGCTGCTGAGCCCTTTGGTTTCCAAAACCCTTGAACTCTGTTGGCACTGGGAGATAAGAAGCTGGCCCACCTCACTGAGGGTTAAAAATGCCAGCACTCCCCAGAACATACATGAGCGAAGCGTGTGAGTATCTCCTCCTTTGATAGATGAGGAAACTGAAGCCAAGAGGAGGGCAAGCCTGGGCCAGCAGCCAGCACGTGATGGTCCAGCATCCTGCCCACCCTCCAGCCCAACACCAGGCCAGGAACTCCAGGACTGATACCCGCCCCTGGCTCTCACCAGCTCCTTCTTCCAGCCCATGAAGAAAGAGTACAGCTCTGGTGCCCACCTGTGCCCTGTCCAGGGCAGTTTTATTGGTGCCACTGGTACAAGGCCTTGCCCAATAGCCCCAAGCCTTTGCCTCCCCCCTTTCTAAGAAGGAAGCTGGATCCTCGGCCTGGCCTCCTAGGAAACAGCACATTTGGTCTGATGTGGCTGCAACACACATGTGACACTCTGGGCACAGATCTGTGTACAAGCCTGTGTCCAGCTCCAGGGAGCAGGAGAGAGTGGAGGCCAGGTTGGTGGGTGGAAGCTGGGTGGAGCCCCAGCTGGCTGTAGAGATGTGTGGGCAAGGTGAGCAGGCCCCAGGTGCACCTCAGCTCCAGTGCCCACTGGTGTGGCTGAAGCTCAGGGCTGAGGGGCCGTATAATCGGAGATCCTGAGAGAGAAGCCCGAAGGCCAAAGTAAGTGGAGCACGCCAGGGCAGGCGCCCAGGGGTGGTTTCAGAGAGGGTAGTGTGGATGCACACACACAGCCCAGGGTTGGGAGACAATGTGCAAGGGGCCTTTGGTGAGTGCGGGGCTATACCTGCCTTCCTTTCAGATCTGCATGCCTGAGCCCCTGGCCTCCTGAAGCTGAAGAAACACACCTAAGGGTGGGGTAGGGGATGGGGGAAGGCTGGGAAGGAAACTCAGCTGGAAGTGGTTTAGGCCTCAGAGCCCACATCCTGTGGGAGGGTCTAGCGAGGGGCCTGGTGTCTGTCGCAGTCCTCGGCACCGCTGGAGTGACAGTCCTCTAGGGGCAGAGATGGTCGACATCCTCCCAGGGAGAAGGTGGCCGAGAGGCGAGGAGGCAGGGTCAGTCCTGCCGCATCCAGGATCAGGAGGCCTCGGGCGAGCGCCGTCCCCCCTCCTCCTCCATCAGTAGCAGGCGGCGCCGGCCAGCCTCGTAGTCGGCCTCGTCCACACTGACCAGCAGGCGGACGGCCTCCCGGCCCACCGCCTCGCGCAGCGCCTCAGTCAGGAACACGCCCCGCAGGGCCTGCAGCAGGGCACCGCTCAGGTAGTCGCCCCAGAAGGCGTCCAGGTAGGAGAGCTCAGAGAACTTGATGTCACACACCACGGAGCCCAGGTCCCGGGAGCGCAGCACTGCGGTGGCCTGCCCAAACACATCCAACTGCCGGGCCAGTGCTTGGGGCCGCCGCGAGGCCACGCCCTGCTCCAAGGCTGGCCCGTGCTCACAGTACTCTGCTCTCACCCTGAGCCGGATGTCTGCGGAGAAGGAGGGGCTGGTCAGGGAAGGGCCGACACCCAGCAAGGGGACCGCCACCCACCCTCCCTTCCCCACTGCCCCTCAGCGTGAGTTGCACTGCACCAGCCCCACATCCTTCCTCCTTCCGGTAACCACACCCAAGTACGGCTGACACCCTCACTCGGCTTCTCTCTTGTGGTCTGACTTGTTACCTCCTGACCTGCTGGCCCTGTGCTTCCCCTCACGTGCCCTCCAGCCTCACCAACTCCATGCTCCTCCCCACAACACCTGGCAGGTTCCACCTGGCCCTGGCCCTCCCATCCTCCAGCTAGGGATGGTCTCTCCCCAGTGCCTGCAGAACTTACTCTCTCATTTCCTTCAGATTCAAATGCCGCCTTCCCAATGATCCTACTCTGACCATCCAATTTACCATCGCCCCCAGGTCTCTGCACTTCCCAGGCCCCATTCCATTTCTGCTCCATTTCTTCCCCCGGCACTTAGCATCTTCTAACCCACCCCGAGCTTTTATTCACTGGCAAGCTAATCACCTATCTCTCCACAGTGTGAGCTCCCTGAAGGGACTTTTGTTTCTTGTTCACTTGTACAGGTAGCCCCGTGGCATATGGTAGGTACTCAATACCCATTTGTGAAAGAACCAACACATGAATGAATGGATTGGCTTTTAGGTAACCAGCCGTCCCCCTCTTCTGCCCCGAAACAGTGAGAGTCATGTGGGGCCAACCATATCCTCAGCCCCCCACCCACCAGGAAGGCACCAGGCCCAGGAGACTCAAGGCTGAACTGGGCTGGCTCTACTGGAAGCAGGCGCTCTCATTCCACAAAGGCTGCCCAGAAGGTGGGCTCTGAGCCCAGGCCTGCTGGGGGCTCTTCTGCCACCAGGAACGGGGAGAATGAAACCTACACAAGGCCAGGCACAGACAGGAAAAGACTCCTGAGTTCATCAGGTGTGCGTGGAGCACCTGGATTTTCAGCTCTGATCAATTTCCTTTCTGCTTAAGCCAGTCTGAGGTGTGTCTGTCACTTATAACCCTGTCCACATCTACCCAAATGAGGTGGCAGCTCTGGGCAGGGGGTGGGACATGAGACTTCCAAGGCCATCCCTGTAAATGTGACCTCAGGCGTATCACTTCCACTCAGTTCAGTGGGATGACTGAACTCCCTACCTGTGAATCTGACTGCTGACTACTGATACAACATGGGCTGCCCTAGGACCAGCTGTAAGCTGGAAATGACAAGCAGCACTCATAAACTCATTTAATCCTCAAACGACCCTGTGAGGCAGGCCCTAGTAGCACCCCAATGTACAGATAAGGAAATGAAGGCAGATGAGAAAAAGGGGACAACAGGGGGACAACAGAGGATGAGACGGTGGGATGGCATCACTTACTTCATGGACATGAGTTTGAGCAAACTCCAGGAGATGGTGAAGAACAGGGAAGCCTGGCCTGCTGCAGTTCATGGGGTCTCAAAGAGTCAGACATGACTTAGCAACTGAACAACAAATGAAGCAAGGAGAAGTGACCTGTCCAAGGTCCCACGGGCAGGGGATGGCAGTGCGTAACAGTGTGAGGGTCAGAGGGCAGTGACCCTCCCATGCCCCAGACAGCAGCTTCAGGTCAATGGATCCTTGACCTGAAGCTGATCCCACCCCAAGAGCCTTCAGGCACTAGCTATGTGACCTGGAATGAGTCACCACCTCTCTTCAGCCCAGGGTCTTGCCTAAACCAGGGGAATGTCCCTCCTGGGGAGAGTTCAGATGACTGTCCACCAGTGGGTGCTACAGAATAGCAGCCACCAGCAACTCGGATGCGGGGGCACGTTCACCCTCTTTGACAGATGAGGCCGCTGAAACTCTGAGAGGGGAGTGTCAGGCCCCTGACTCCTTTCACCTTTCAAAGACTGTGTCAGCCGCAGAGCAGAAAGCAGCAGGCAGGTCCCCACTTCCCCAGGCAACTTCTCAGCACCACCCACTTCCTCCTCCCACCCCAAACCCCAAACGCTTCCTCTTTCTGCCTCAAGGGGAAGCTCACCCTCTCTGCTCGAGGCCCAGAAAAACCTGCTCAGCCTCGGCCCCCAGGACTTCCCACAACACTCAGGACTGGCTCCCTCCATCCTAGGATCAGTCAAGACCTCTGGGCCCACATCCTTAACGCTTCTGAGCGTCTGACCAGACCCTCAACAGGCGTGAGCTGGGAAGCAGGGGACTGGGGGGAGCAGCACCTGTCCAAGGCCACACGGGGGTGCTCAGCAGCAGAGGCACAGAGCCAGGTGGCGGAGAATGACAGACCTTGAGGCGAGTCCCGGCTCTGCCACTCTCTAGCTGTGGGGCCTTGGGCATGTGACCTCACCTCTCTGAGCCTCAGTTTCCCCATCTGAAAAACATAAACAGACAAACAAGAGGTCCCTGCTGCACGACGGGGTCATGAGGATCAAATTAGGCAACGCATGAAGCATTCGACCCAGAGCCTAGGCACAGAAGGCACCCCAAAAACAGGAACTGTGATTTCGACACTCCCCT